GAACCTTGATAGTCTTTTGCAGCTAAATGATAGCAAGGACAAAAATCGTGATTACTTAAGGACTCCCAGGTGGAACAGAGACATCAAGGAAGAAAGACTTTCATCAATCTCCTAATTTGAGCATTGATTTGCTTCCCCTCAGCAAGAGTAGAAACTCATCTCTCAAGAAAGGGCAGCCATTCCAGCCATGAGATAGTCAGTATAGATGTCATATACCCAATCCAAACAAGATTTCCTGAACTGAGAGAGCTCAGCAGTGGCACATTTTAATCTCATGAGGAGTGCTTAGTTTTATTTCAACAATGTGGTGGAAATAAAAAAAAATAAATACATAAATAAATTAATAAAAGTAGCCACTTTCAGAACTGAAAGTGAAACTCAGAGAAACTTCTCAGGCCTGGGCCTGGTTGCCTTCCCTGCTGGCACCTCAGGTGCACAGATGCTGTGTCATCCTTAAATTCGCCAAGGTTTCCATGGCGAAAAAAGCTGAGAATGAGACCGAGAACACCATGGTGAGGTCCTGACCAACAGGAAAAATAGTTGATGGGGCTTAAAGGCACCAAGAATCTTTGTGAAGGTCATCATGTAAGCAGTTAAGCAAAGCTCTCACTTTCTAGTTATCAACTGTCTACAGCTTTTATTTTTTCTTGAGCCTTAAGCTTGACTTCTAGTCAGCATAGCTGTGAGAAAGGATATTTATGTGAATTCCATTACAAAACTATTTGCAACAAATTTGGTCAGACTGTGTCTTTAGTTGCTACTTTTTTACCAGCGTCCTAATCTAATTTTTTTTTCTTTTATGATAGTGTTCATCCTTTCTTATTAATACCTTCATACAAAAACTTCCATCAATTTAAATGATTACTGATGGACCCAGGTAATGGTAGGGGAAGATGCCTGTAAACTGTTTCTTTTGATAACTGTACCATACGCTCTTTCCTCTGAAACTGGAATTTGGAATGCAAACACATGTAGAAGTTCATGATTTTGAGTAATTTTGCCTATCTGACCATGTTCAATGGTTTTCAGCCTGTCATCTGTAGACTTCTGGATTTATCCTTATAACATGGCTTCAAACTGGCATCCGCATATACCCTGGAACCTGTCAGGTTTTGAAATGGCAAGAAAAAATTGAAGATAGCTATTTTGGTCACTTTGAACCTCCTGTCCACTCTAAGGCAGCATCAAAACTGGCTCTACTTAGAGAAGTGGTCTCAATCCCCCCCTCCACCCTTGCTGTATCTGCTGTGATGCCTGGGGACTAATCCTTGCATGATTTGGTGAGCAGAAACAGTATAACAAAGGAGAAAGTTGTCCCAGGTGAAATCATGGGAAAGTTTCCATTGATTTTAGGGTGCCAAGAAGTCAGCTCATATGTAGACAAAGAGCAGATTGCTATACAGTGGTGATACGTCTTCTGATACAAATAGCCTTTTAAGGTCACCGAGTGCAAGGTGGAAAGAAGTCAGGGCATGTGTTGATAGTAGGTACTTGTAAATAGTTATTTGCATTTTCACTCTTCTCTGTTAGTTAAAGTACTACACTTTTTTCATAAAGTCATTTAAAAACTCGGAACGACAGCAAGAGAAGGTCCTTGGAAGATAAAAATACATAAAAAGCAACTGCTAAAACACTCCACAGAGAATGAATATGGTATAAAAATCCCTTTTGTTTGATCTCATTGTACAGCAAAACAGAAGAAATCATCACTTTTAAAAGTGGCTTTCACTAATAACATGTTAGTCCCTAAAGTGTACTTTACGGACAAGGCTTTTTAAAATAAGCTTTTAAGTTTAAAGCTGCAAAACTAAAAAGGTTGCCTGACATTTGACAATGATTAGTCCTCTGAAGTTCCCAGTAGTATCTATTTGTGAAAATTTTGTTGTTTTTAGAATAGCACTGGACATTTCTTTGTTTGTACAGCACTTCGGGGTCCCATCTTTACTGTGTATGCAGAGAGATATTAAACTGAATTTTTCCTTTTAAACAGATTTTGGAGTTTCTGACCACCAAACAGGTAGTGGTGAGTTATAGCTCTGAAATGCAAGGTCATGCTAAACACCTGCTGTTTTTCCAGGGGTCAGAATGTTTCTCTTGACTGTGTGCTCCAGCTACCGGAGGGAACTGTCAGACATTCATGGTGAGATACCCTGACTAAACCAGCACATTGTGCTGCTCTGCAGTAAAGGACACAGCACATGCCCATCACGTAATCCCCTGGTGTGGAGTCAGTTCCCATGTTGTTGGAAAGCACAGGCATGGAGTGAGAAGAGAAGTGATAAAATTATTATATTCCAAATTAGTAGGAAAGGCAGGGAATTAACCATGAAAACAAAAAAGGGGGCTTCAATTCCCATTCCCAGGACAGAGCTGCAGTGTTTGCAGGAGAGAGAAAAAAGCAGAAGGAGAGTCTAGTCCCTAGGATAAGGAAAAAAAAAAAAAAAGTGAATTCAAAGCTGTAAATTAGAGAAATGAGGAATCAACACTTGTGATCAATTGCTTAATCTGCAGTACCCCTACAGAAAGTAATAATTTCAGTTGAATTAGGTGTAAGGGTTAAACACTTTGTTTTCAAATACTTCTCACAACTTACCCGTGTCTCCCACGGAAATGTGTGTTAGTTAGCCTGAGAAAAACTGATGTGTCTAAGGTTTGGAAAGGAAAGAGAAGTTGTGATGAGATTTGACATCCTGAAGGGCTTGTTCTCTGATCAGGAAAGAAATGAAGCATTGAATTTTAAAAGAGATTTTCAATTGAAAATTTTAATTGGACTTCACCTTTAAAGTGTTTCAAATCCTCTCTGGGTACAATACAGTGCACGTAAAAGACGACTGTTATATTTGATGTTTCCTTATCTACAGGCTGTCCTGAAGTACGACAGAACATGGTGTAAATTATGAATAGCATGTGGGCACTCTGCTGCTGCACCACAGGAGATGTGGTTAGAATAAGATTTTAGAGTTCAGCATTTTGTGTCTGTCAATAACAAACTAAGCCAAAGGAAAAGATCTCAGTGTATATCTGCAATTTATTTCTACACAAGCCATGGCTTGGTTTCTTTGGGACATTTTCTCTCCGTCCTCTTTCTTTTGCACGACTGTAAGTGGAAGAGACGGAGTAAAACGTCCAGCTGCAGTCACTTCATTGGCACAATGGTTTTTATCTATGTTGCTAGTACATTGAACAAAGTAGAAGCTCAATGTTTTCATTAGCAATCTGTAAGTAGTATTTTTCTTCTTATATTGCCATGGTTTAGCATCAAATCTATCAGTGTTTGCATTGGTCTTCTAAGGAGAATCCATGCTTGACCTTCTAGAATAGTGACCTTTGCTCAGAAGGATAAACTGAATGGATATTGGTTTTCCTTCTTTTGAATCACAGAATAGTACCCTTTAGAGGTCACTTTTTTTTTTTTTAAATGTTTAAAATGTATGATTCAAGCATTGTTGTTCCCAGGTGACCAATGTATGGGATGGGACAAGACAGAGACAAGAGTATAACACCTGGCAGAGTAAGTTTGCAAATGAATTGGAATGATTTGAGATAAAGATAAATGACAGCTATAAAAGTAAGAATTACTGATACTGAGAGAGAAAACATTAAATTTCATCTATTTAAACTATTATTATTTTAAGTCACTATTTCTGCATATGACTATTATTAAATTCACACAATTTATGCAAGTAAGCATGCCCATTTAAACTGGCAGATGGTTTGTAGAGAGGAGTGGATCTCAGTTTCTGAAAAAAAAAAAAAAGATAAAAAAGAAAGTGTCTGTCAAAATCCTCCATGACTCACAGTCCCTCTGGGCCTCAGTTTCCTTCTCTGTAAAATAAATATAATAACCTGACTTTTTTTTTTCCACTGAGCTGCTATATTAATGCATCTTTTTGTAAATCCTCTAGAAGGTTACAAAATGTTCTAATGTTCTTGGGCTTGTTGTTTTGAGCATTTTCTATTTTGAATGCTTGTGCATTTTTAGGTGGAAGGCAGAAATGGGTCATTCCCAAGTGAGTTTATTATGGAATTCTTCTCTTATATAATGACTTGTAATTCTGCTGTTGCTCTTCTCCCTTATCAGTGACAGATTTGGCCATCACTTGTTTATCAGTACATATTTATTTTTATATTTCACAGTGGCTTCTGCCTACAAGCTGTTACCTGGAACTGTAAAATAACTTTTATTAGTATTTCTGTAGAAACTAAGGTCCTGTCACCAAAGACATAGTGGTAGCACAAAACATCAGGAACTCTGACCTGAGAAATCAAATCTAACTAACCAGAGCCTCCAGTTCAACCCAGTTAGCTGTTCACTGTTCAACAGCAATTTTGATTAGTAAGGCTAGAGGTAAATAAGACCTTTTTCTTCAGTGCTTAAAAAGAGAAGAAAAGAAAAGAAAATGCATGTATATATTTGACAGAGCTGGTGCATACATTGAGAATTACTTTTGTTTAGTCTGGGTGTCCTTGAATCACAGAACAACTTTAATGACCATTAGCAGCTCTCTCAGTGATTAAGTAAATGAACTCAAGAACAAGAACTGCTGGGTACATTCCCAAACACTCAGTACAGTTTATTGAAATGGATCAGTTTAAACAAGCAGTAAATTGAGATTCACTTCAGCCTCTACCTCTTTGTTGAATACAATTAGGGAGGACACTCCCTAGCTCATGCAGAAATGAAGCTGGCTTTCAGTACCGACAGAAAATGAAAATCTTCAATTCATCAATGTTGGTAGTTTACATTCAGTGTTGGAAATAAGAATTGAAAAGACATGGATGTCTTCTGGAGCTCCGGAGAGCAGCATGTACAGCTCAGCAGTTACTGAGCTTATGTGGTGTATGAGGAAAGTGTATTCAAGTAAGTGCCTAATGCAGTGAGAAATAAAAATTACAGTTGTTACCGCATCTTGAACTGAAATGATATCTGGGCCTTGGTGGAAAGAAATAAAAGACAAGAATTCTTAGAAAGTAGAAAACATACTAAGAAGCTGCCTTACCTCCATCTAGTTCTTCAGCTCCAAAATGGTTCCTGTAGAAGAGCATAATCTCTATCTTGTAACACTTGTAGATAGTCACTAAACAAACAAGCAGCAGCAGAATAGCACCAAGCCCACCAGCAAGCTCAACTGTGTACATCAGCTCTGCAAAGAATTACAAAATGCAGTAACAACCACATTCCAAACCACAGAAAGATTAGCAGCAGACCTCGCGCTTCTGTTAAACATTAAAATAAAATAATGAATGATGGGTCATTTATGAATTCATTTCATTATAGGGCCCTTGAAGATATACGTAATAGTATTTTTTTGTTTTTTCTTCTATAAACTGTTTTTTCTCTGAAAATTGCTGGGCATGTATGTGTGTGTAAGAATATGTGCATACACACGACATGTTTGTTAACTCTTCCTTTTCTCTTTCTGTAGATAGATCACAGTTTGCTTTACACAGATAAATGTTGATGTATGACTTACAATGGCATTAGATGTGAATATTTCCTTTTTAGGGACTATAATCCAAAAACAGCTTCTCCCTTATTCCACATACAAATAGGACGAATTTTAGTCTACTGGACAAGACCGCACTACGACTTTGATTATTTTTTCCCGAGTAAATATAAAAAAGTCAAAACTCAAAAAACTCAAGACATGTGAAGACAAATTACCCAAGGAACCCTGCAGCTCTACATCTCAGTTATATGTTCACATCCTTAACACAGTTTCCCAGAGATCTACATTTCATCTTTATTCTCACCTTTCCCCCAGTGGGCTTAGCTTACATGTAGTCACAGCAAACCATCTCGATTTGTCTGTTCCGACATTCCCACTCAGCCCTAACGCACTGGTGTCTTTGCTGCAGTCTGCTCACATGATGGATTGGGGTCACCACCACGTAACTCTGTTCTTGAGGGGGGGGACTCCGGTCAAATGAGGTCAAAAACTGCCTACCACCAGTAGTGGAGCCACTTATCAAGGCAAAGCAATATGCCATCATGGACTTTCGTCTCCCTTAGTTTTAAGTGTTGCACACTCAAGGAAGCTCACAGAGCTACGTGGTTTCCATCTTGTTGGTAGTTTTCATTGGCTCAGTGGCTGAAAATTGGCAATGTTAAAAAAGGAGGATGGGAGAAGAAGGAGAGTTATGAACAATTTTTTACTTTGAAATGAGCAATAGGTGGCAAATGTTAAGACTTTCCATACTTTTCCAAATCACTCAGTTTTGAGGAATTAAAAAAATCAGATCTTGGAAATCTAAGATGCAGAGTTTGCCTCATAAAAAAAAATCTGTGCTGGAGCAAGACCAGTTCTGTGTTATTTTCACAGTATCCTCTTCCAGTAGGCAGTTTCTGTCTGAGTGAAGCAGGGTAGCCCAGAACTAACCTTTTTTTTTTTTAATGTGTGTGTGTGGTTGTGCAGATATGATAATCCAGCACAATGCAATTCAATTAGAGAAATAAAAGGTTAGAGGAGAAAGTGACAATTCCATTTATTTTGACAGCGTCTACTGAGAATCACACACTTTTTTTTTTACTATTTTGAGGCAACTGTAAGAAGATTTCATTACTCTCTAGAAGACACTAAAAATGTAATAAAATAAAATAAAAAGGCATTTATATTCCATGTCATTCTCTCCAAAACTGTGCTGGAAACTCCTTTGTGTTAGATATTTTTAAGACTGACATGGTTATTTCAGACTTCAATACTTTTCTGGTCCAGAGAGGGGAATGTTATTAAAAACACCCATAAAAAATTGTTTGCATAGACAAGTAATACAATATTTTAGAATATAAATGGAAATGGAAATTACTCTGCACTGACTTACTATACTCTGTTTATCATTTTGTACTACAGGTGATGCAGCTGTTCAATGGTAACTAGAAGAAAGGCTTTAATATATCAGGTTCCTAGGCACAAAATTCTCTATTTATATGCCTGCTGTTATGACTCATTAAAGGGAAAGAAAAACTTTACAACTGGAAAAGGGAAGTTTTTCCTAAACTAATGATTTTGAGATTAGATGAAAAAAAAAAATAACTGCCAGTAGTCATCTGCTGTCTGTCACTGTGCATGAAATCAGACTAATGCACTGCATCACTTTTGCCATCAGTCCTCTTAGTTCTCTCTTCCCCCATAAAATAAGATTATGCCTATATGCTTCCTTCAGTAAAATTTATGTGAAGCCACACGAAGCTGTCCTTAATTAGGCAATCAAAGCAAACAACAAAATTCTCTAACTCAGCCTGAAACGTACTAGCAATTACCTTTTCACGTGCTGCTGCTGAGCCCATTGTGATTGCTTCTGAGGACAAGGATGACGTGGTTCTTTCTTAAACAGATTTTTTTGTAATGTAGGTTTCATGGTCTATTGATCTAACATAGCAAGCTATTTTTTTCCTCTGTGCTGGACAACATCTTTCAGCACATGTTTGTTCCCTGTCTTAGGTGCTGTTTGTCAGAGTTTAGAGGCAGAGAGGGCAGTGGTTAGCCCCGTAGACTGCTGCATCCTTACACCCAGCCCTGCAGATGCCTGAGCCAACCCCCAAAGTGCTGGAAGTGGAACAGCTACATCTCTGCAGCACTGTGGAAGGCAGGATGGATTGTCCTGAGCACAGTGTCATGCTAAGTTGATTGTTTTCAGGCCTTGAGTTTGCGTTTCTGCAGGATGCTAAACCGTGCCCTAAGGGCCCACTTGCTGGCTCTAATCTGCCACAGGATTTTTGGGAACAGTGTTACCCCATGATGAGCTGAACTCAAGGTGTGAGAAGCAGAATGCTCAGTCTTGCCTCTGCTGTTGGCCCCTCAGGTGACTGAAGCCATTTCACATATCTTTGCCTTGGTTTTACCAATGTGAATTGGGGAAGGTGCTCTGGCTTCTTCCTAGGAGAGGTTATTCCTGAAAGGTGCTCTGTGAATGCTAGGGGTGTTGGTGATGTGTATGTCAACAATTTCAGCAGCGATGTAGTGACTGCTAAAGCTGAATTAAGTGTACAGCAAGGTTAGAACGTATGGTTACCTTCACAATAACATTTTTTTCTGCTGCTTTATTCTGCCTTTTTCATTCTGATTTGAGCACCCAGTTGCTGCAGCAGGAATATACTCCCTTTCAAGTGTGATCTGTTTTTCCTGCTGAAATTCAAGTTTGCTGTAGTGGCTACATACTAAAAAGATTCAATTTCAGCACAATTCCACATCAGAAGGGAGAGACAAAAAATGAAAATTTAGCCTCTGTGTTGCTCAAATTACAGACCTGGTCCTCCTTAAGTAGGTGAGACTGAACATAAAAAATAGTAGAGGAAAATTACTTGACTAACCCTTAGGGGGACAGACATTCTGTTAAAAAACGAGTTGCCAGAAAGTTACATCCAGAAGCACAGCAATCATTTAGTTACAGGCAATTACAGGCAATTAACAATAGTCCTCCAATAGCACAGGAGCAGTTCTACTCCAAGGGAAAACACATTGATTACTGCAGTAGTAGTAGATTGTTTTCTGAATAAATAGCTTCAATTTAAAACAAGATTTGTTACAAGCATTTTGACCAATGGCTACATTATTTACCCTTAGCAGGAGGCTTTGCCCAAGGAACCCAGTGAAAAAGACAGCTAATTAAAACAAAGCACATGTCCTCTCCAAATATCTAGCATGATATAACTGGTAATAAATAAATGAACTCATTTTATACTTTTATAATTATTGGCCACATTTGTAATATATATCTTTGGTCTTCACCTGGCTCTAATATTTGATAAACTTTCTTTCCCTAGGTCATGCAGGTAATTCTCTTACTGTAGCTGGAATTATAACAAGAAAGTAAATAAAATTGTTCTGCCAAAGATTCATATCTTTTGACTTATATGACATGCTTCAGGGACTTTACATTATATGATCTGTGATAATTTGAAATTAATTTTATTCATTAATTAGTCCCCACAGCTGAGCTACTAAGAAAAATAATTATATTTCAAACATTCTTTTTTTTTTTTGTGATATATAACTCTTCAAGGACATGTGATTTATAGCTGTGCATTCAGTTTCTGAGCCTTTTTCAAAATCCAATTACAGTCTATCTAAGGTTTCAATTTTGCAATCACTTACAGATTGTTCAACTTCATGGACTATAAGTAATCCCTCTGAAGTCAACGGGACTATTAACACAGTTTCAGGTTAGCACATAAATAAATCTTTGCAACTTTGTGGCCTAAACTGATTTCTGTTCTCTGCTTGTCTTTGATGATTTAACTCACAGAGATATGCTTTGGTTAGAGGCAATTTTCAGTTTGTTTAGATATACTTTCATAGACTTCAATTATTGAAGGAAATGTAGATATAATGAATATAATTTGGAAGGGGAGCAGGGTCTGATGTGTTGTTACATACTACTTTGGTTATGAATGGGTGTGTTTCTTCTAAAGAAGGAAGGTGGCTAACACAGGAATACTCGACTGAGTGTCATTTCAGACATCAGCAGTAAAGATTAGGCAGAATTTAGGTTAGTAACAAAGAAACAAATACAGCTTTAAAATGGAGAAGTATGTGCATTTTTTCCTTTTCTTTCCCCCCCCCCTCCTTTTTAGTACAGTATTCATTATGGCATTGCTGTAAAACAAATTACCTTCCCAAAGCTGAGCATATGGAAACACAGCTTTATACACCGTATGCATATCCAATATGCATACTGCATATATATAAAATCTAGTCACTACTTTTTAGGATTTTTGTTTGTTCCAAATTGCCAAATAAAATCTGTTTGTGCTTAGGGTACCTGGATGGCCTTATGAGCACTGTTGTGAATAGTTACAGATGGATATTGTAGGACAATAATATTTCTGATAACAGTAGAAACAGACTTGGGCTATTCATTAGCTTGATTATGAAATCATTTCTTAGCACAAAGTATATACCTTCTGCCAGTATAGGCTATGTGTGCCTGTAGATGTCTGCAGAGTTCACTGAAGCTAGCTAAATTTAGTTGTGGTTTTCAATATGGTTTTCAATGCAGTAGAGCTATTTTATTTATTAGAGCTATTGAGACCTAGTTATCTTGTATTATTTTTTTATATCAATAAATAATATATATTCCTGATTTGTGTATGAAAAAGAGCTGGTCAGGTTTGGGATTATATATACATACGCATATATGTGTG